ACCGTCATGCATACTACTGTGGGCAAGAATCCCTCAGAAGAAATGGAGTAGCCTTCACAGTCAATAAAAGAGTAGGAAAAGCAGTACTGGGATACAACCTCCAAAATGACAGAATGATCTCAGTTTGAATCCAAGACAAACCATTCAACATCACAATAGTCCAAGTCTGTGCCCCAGTCACTGATGCTGAAGAGGCTGGAGTTGACCGGTGCTATGAAGGCCTACAACACCTTCTAGAAATAACACCAAAAATAATGCCCTTATTATCATGGGGGATTGCAATGCTAAAGTAGGAAGCCAAAAGATAACTGGAATAACAGGCAAGTTTGGCCTTGGAGTACAAAATGAAGCAGGGCACAGGCTGGTAGAATTTTGTCAAGAGAAAACGCCGGTCATAGCAATCATTCTTTTCCAACAACTCAAGAGACGACTCTACACATGGACATCACCAGATGGTCAACACAGAAATCAGACTGACTATGTGCTCTGCAGCCAAAGATGGAGCAGCTTTATACAGTCAGTAAAAACTAGACCAGGAGCTGACTGTGGCCTAAATCATGAGCTTCTTGTTGCAAAATTTAGGCTTAAATTGAAGAAAGTAGGGAAAAGCACGAGGACACTCAGGTATGACCTAACTCATATTCCTGATGAATATACAGTAGAGGTGACAGATTTAAGGAATTAGATCAGATAGAAAGAGTGCCTCAAGAACTATGGACGGAGGTTCACAACATTGTGCAAGAGGTTGCATCTAAAATCATCCCAAAGAAAAAGAAATGCAAGAAAGCAAAATGGCTGTCTGAGGAAGCTTTATATACAGCTGAAGAAATAAGGGAAGCGAAAGGCAAGGGAGAAAGGGAAAGATACACCCAACTAAATGCAGAATCTGAGAGAATAGCCAGAAGAGATAAGAATGCCTTCTTAAATTAACAGTGTAAAAAAATAGAAGAAAACAATCAAATAGGGAAGACCAGAGATCTCTTCAAGAAAATTGGAGATATGTAGGGAACATTTCATGCAAAGATGGGCATGATAAAGGACAAAAATGGCAGGGACCTAACAGAGGCAGAGGAGATTAAGAAGAGGTGGCAAGATTACACAGAAGAACTATACAAGAAAGACCTTAACGTCCCAGATAACCACAATGGAGTGGTCGCTGACCTCAAACCAGACATCCTGGAATGTGAAGTCAAATGGGCCTTAGGAAGTCTGAGCAACAACAAAGCTAGTGGAGGGAACAGTATTCCAGCTGAGCTATTCAAAATCTTAAAAGACGATGCAGTAAAAGTGCTACACTCAATATGCCAGCAAAACTCAACAGTGGCCACAGGATTGGAAAAGGTCAGTTTACATTCCGATACCAAAGAAGGGCAATGCCAAAGAATGTTCAAACTACCACACCATTGCACTCATTTCACATGCTAGCAAAGTTATGCTCAAAATCCTACAAGCTAGGCTCCAACAGTATGTGGACCGAGAACTACCAGAAGTACAGGCAGGATTTCAAAGAGGCAGAGGAACTAGAGATCAAATTGCCAACATATGCTGGATCATGGAGAAAACTAGGGAGTTCCAGAAAAACATCTACTTTTGTTTCATTGACTACACCAAAGCCTTTGATTGTGTGGATCACAACAAACTGTGGCAAGTTCTTAAAGAGATGGGAGTACCAGACCATCTTATTTGTCTCTTGAGAAACCTGTATGCGGGTCAAGAAGCAACAGTGAGAACTGTACATGGAACTACTGATTGGTAAAGGAGTTTGGCAAGGCTGCATGCTGTCACCCTGACTATTTAACTTATATGCAGAGCACATTATGAGAAAGGTGGGGTGAGATGAATCACTGTTGGAATTAAGATTGCTGGGAGAAATATCAACAACCTCAGATATGCAGATGATACCACTCTAATGGCAGAAAGTGAAGAACTAAAGAGCCTCTTGATGCAGGTGAAAGAGGAGAGTGCAAAAATTGGTTTGAAACTCAACATTAAGAAAACTAAGATCATGGCACCCAGTCCTATCCTGTGCCATCTGCATCCCCTTCCAGTCCCATCACTTCCTGGCAAATAGATGGGGAAAAAAGGAGGTAGTGACAGATTTTATTTTCCTGGGCTCCAAGAACACTGCAGACGGTGACTGCAGCCAAGAAATTAAAAGACGCTTGCTCCTTGGGAGGAAAACTATGGCAAATCTGGACAGCGTATTAAAAAGCAGAGACATCACCCTGCCAACAAAAGTGCATATAGTCAAGGCTATGGTTTTCCCAGTTGCAATGTATGGCTGTGAAATTTGGACCATAAGGAAGGCTGAGCACCAAGGAATTGAGGCCTTTGAATTGTGAGGAGATCAACCCTGACTGTTCTTTAGAAGACCAGATACTGAAGATGAAACTCAAATACTTTGGCCACCTAATGAGAAGGAAGGACTCACTGGAGAAGACCCTGATGCTGGGAAAAATAGATGGCAAAAGAAGAAGGGGACAGCAGAGAATGAGGTGGCTAGATGGAGTCACTGAAGCAGTCAGTGTGAGCTTAGGTGGACTCTGGGGGATAGTGGAGGATAGGAGAGCCTGGAGGGATGTTGTCCATGGGGTCACGCTTTTGTAATTCTTTGAAAGATGAGACTATTCCTTTAAAAGTACTATACCCATTCTTACTATTATTCATTTATATAGTATTTTACACAGGCAGATATAGCATATTTGATGTTTGATATCTTTGCCCAAGACTCAGACGGAGAAAAATGCACATAGCCTGAGGGTTATTATCTGTTTTCTTCATAGCAATTACCTTTGCCCCAAGACAAGATATTATCTGTTTCTCATGTCTACATCTGCCTATTTGAATTTTGGTCATTACAACAATCATGTAAAAGAGGGGACTGTTATATTCATTCTTAGAAATGCAAGAATGATGGCTTGTGATGGTGGGAATTGTTGTCTAATGCATCAAGAAGATGCCAGGTTGGGGAAGAATATCCTACAGAATCCTGGTAATGGAATTCTGTTAAAAGAACCAGAAAACCTTTCATACCATGCCTCCTAAATTGCTTTGGAAAAGTCATGACACTAAACCAATTTTAATTTTTAAGATAATTTAATATGTCAAAAGGGTATTTCCCAAGCCACAACACTGTAGTAAGTAATTTCGCATAACAAGGTAGATATGGAAGAAAAGGTACTAGAAACAGAAAAGAATTTTACAAACCTCATCTTAAAATCGAGCAGTTACATCAACTTATGCTCGGTTTCTTTTTTCAAATCCTTCTCCTGAAGTGTCATACTTAAAGGAAAGCTGGTATCAACTAGAATGCTACATTTGACAAATCAGACTAAAGTCATTAACTGGGTTCAGCCAACACACTCTCAAGGATTAAGTATGGATTGAATGGAGGTGGTCATTGAACTGTAGGCTGTAGCTGAAACATGGGTTATCATGTCTGATCCAGTAAAGATAAAAAAAACATAATGAACAACCTACAGTTCATAACCCAACAACAAAGGGCAGGTTTTCAGATGTTGTTTGTGGTTAACAAGGCAAGGCATGTTAGCAGAGCTGGGTTCCAGCAACTTGGTAACCCACATTTCAATGACCATCAATGGTTCAAAAACAACCCGCACTCAATCCATGTAAGCGTGGGTTATCATGTTGTCTCAATGCAATCATTGTGCACATCAAAAATGATTATTTATTTATTAAATGCATTTATACCCCGTCCTATCACTTCAAGCGTCCTGTCACACCTGCATGTGCCGCCCCCGCCTCCTCGCACACGACCAGGCACCACCCTTCCAGCCCGCGCGCCCAGCACCAGCAGCTTTCAACTGGCCCCCTGGTCAAAAGGTTTGAGGACCCCTGCTGTAGTGTCTTGAGTTGAGCTAGCAAGTGCTACTTTCTCTCTGCTAGCCACTGCTCACATCAGGACACTGTGTTTGGAGTTGAAGGATTATCAATACTCAATATTGCCCATTGCACAATACTGTACAAAGTGCACACTAAATGTCAGTCTATATTCTGCAATATGTTGCATGACCTCTGAATTCTCTAGCTTATAACATTATTTCCAAATACTGGTATCTCTTTGAAACGAAAGTGATGCATTGGTGGCTTAAACACAGAAGGGTCTTTGTTTACATAAACAACAAATGGAAACTTGTTCTGACAACTTTAAAAGAAGGATTTGACACGCTGTTGCCACAATTTTCACCCTCTGCTTGGTCCCCATCAACACACAGAAAGGCATGTAAGTAAAATGCCTTTGCACATGTTTTTGTATACAAGGAGTGAGGAACAACATATATGAAGAAAGGCAGCAGTGATGTCTGCAAGAACTTCCAGACTGATTTGCCTCTGCAGTGATTCAGAGTCACATGTCACAAGAAGACCGAAACCCACTTCTGGCATTTGCAAAAGAGGGGTTACTATAAGAGCAGAGGAATCAGAAGATGTGTGCCTTCCTCCTCTCTCAAACTCACCCTTCTAGACAGGGAAGATCTGCAAGAGCAGCATAACCACAATCAGCTTAACACAGACAGAAAGGTAAACATGACCCTGGCCTATATTTTCTGTTATTGTCTGTTTCTAGAAATTAATAGGACCATAACTCTAAAGTTTATGGTTAAATCTATCAACAATGTAGAAGTACTAGACAGAAACATTTTGTGAAGTTTATAATAAAGAGCTGACAGGTTGAAACAAAATAAGAGCCCAGCAGCAAGTAGTAACACTGGCACCAGCAAACAGCTTAGCAGGTACATGAGAAGGACGCATCCATTTCACAAGCAATGAATGAATAAATGAATGGATAAAATTACAATTCACAGTTGAAAGTTCTGTAATAAATCTTTGGCATGTAGCATTAAAAAGCAGGAAAGAGAAGCAGAAGATTTGCTGGATCAAACTAAGTACAGATATTTAAATAAAATCAGCAGGAAGGGCCTGGAATTTAATCATGCAAAGAAGAGGAAGTTTGCAGGGACATGAGCCAATCAGATTCTTACCAGGGCTTCATTATCTTCTGTAATTTCTGATATCGTCTGCAAAAATTTAAAAACTCTCAGGTAAGGAGAAACATTTTAGGATATCAGCTCTTCAAATCTCTGTATGACTTACAAAATCTTATGAACACAACCACAGCCACTATAGTTGGCAAAATTTCAACTGAAGCCAACTTGAAATGATGGTATTTTTCAATCATTTGTGGAAGGAAAGAATTAAAAGCAACCAAATACATTTTTTACATTCAGAGAAAATCAGATCATTCATAGCAGCACTTAAGAACTATGCCTATGTACCAGAGTGTTCCTGACAGGGAGAAAAGCAGTATTCCAACCCTTACTAGCAGAATAGCAAGCTGTGTTCAAACAATCCCTTTTAGCTACCTCCCAATCTTAACAGTTGCCACAGAAGCATGTAAAAGGACAATTTCCCTCACACCTACTAGGCTGGGAAAATTAGCCTCTGGGACCTTGTGTTCCTTGCTTCTTAGCAAAAAAGCACCAACAAAGGGGGGATTGTTTAGGTTCAAGTGTGATCAAGCAGAAGCCCATGGATTCCAGCCCCTACCTAAATTTGTAGCAGAAAGGAAACACATTTCTGGATGTGATTTAACATTTCCAAAAGCATTGCTCACAATGTAAAATGAGAGGATGCGCCAGAGATTTCTTTTTCGTTTTCTTTTTTTCTTTTGGCGGGGGGGGGGGGGGGGGGGAGGTTTCTAGCCTGGGGAGACTAGATCACTTCCCTTTTGAACTATTTTCTTTGAAAAATTACTTGTGCTCCTATTTGTGTTGCTGGAGTATCACTGAGGACAGAATTAGATCTTTTGAAGCTCAGATTTGGGCCATAACTTTTAGATTCTGGGTCAAGCTTTTATTCTCCAAAAAGTCAAACAGATACTTAGACCTACTGCAAGCAGACTCCTATCAAAGCTCATGGAGCAAATTGGATGAAAGTCATTATCTGGACTTTAGGAATTTCTCCTCATGATCTGAAAGAACGAGGACCTACTGCAGCTCTGAATTTGAATTTGAATACTAGAAGTACCATGATCAGAGCATGTACAGTGTGCTCACCTTTTTATTGAGGTTTAACATTGCCACATTCTCTTCCAGCTTATTTTGATTTCCTGACAGTTCCACACTAGATGAGTATTCATGCTGGCCTTTCCGCATGGGAGTAATTGGGACATTTAAATAAAGTGTCTTATCTTGAGAGTGTGTGTCAATGCAGTTCTCTCCAGCACTGTCTATTCGACTATGACTTGCCTAATGTGGCAAGAGATAGTTGGATAAAACGTTTTATTCAGGACTCTATAATTTGGATAAATTGAGGTTTCTTTTGGCAGGAATGGATTTAATATAACACTGGCAGTTGCAAAGTTCTTTTCTCAGTTAAGATTAAAAACTACTACTTGTGTGTGTGTGGGGGAGGGGGGGCTTTTTTCATCAGCTGGAAAAAAACTACCATCATTTTTAAAGATTATTATTAATATGGTCTTATTTTTACTGATTGCATGAAAGACCCACCAGGAGTAGCTGAGGAGTAGGATGAAAAATAATGCTTAGAATTTTTAAAATGTTTCATACTTGAAGCACAGTCTTTATTGTAGAAAATGGAGTCCCCATCAAATGGAACATCAAGAACAGATTTGAGCAGTGAAACCAGTTTAACCCTGGGTTAAAGTTCAGCATTTAGATAATTAAAATTTAGGCTATTTTTGTAGATTTGAATATATTTTTCCTGTTGAATCAGGTTGAAAGGAGAAGCAATCAATATTCTTAACTGAATTATCTTCCCTAGACCTGGGCTTTCCTAAAAATAATATCTCAGGAAACAAAGAAATTCAAGCTGATCCTGCTTGTCAGCAAAGTTCCTGTGAGGTTAACCAGACTAGGCATGTCTTTGTTTTATATGATATTATTTCCAAACGTTGAAGACACAATAGTTTTTCTTTTGGGGGTCACGAGTGATGGCTGATATTCTGGAATTAGTGGGCCAGAAGCATCCCAGTAATCCTTAGCAGCTTTGTGAGAAAATGTAATGCCTTTTCAAACGACTCCAAAATTCAAACAATTATAAACAACTATACACTAACACACACATTCAAGCTGTATGAACCAGTCACAGACTTCTGCTCTTACTAATACTAATAGAAGAAAATCTGAAAGGGAATAGCAATATAATACTAAAGAATAATAGTGAAGGGGTGCTAGCTTAGACATTTGCCTACCACAGTACGCTCACTGTTTGGCCTGGAAGCAACTCTGGATTATGTTGCTGGCTCCTTCCCAAAGGGACAGCAGCTCCTTTTGGAATTTCCCATGCCACAAAGGCTTAATACTTGCTGAATGTGCACTGATATCTGCCAGGAGCCACTTCCAGCAGAGACAAATTTTGCCTATTTCTGACGAGACGCACTCCTTTCTGGCTTATTTGGCAAAACTGTTGGTTATACATCATGAAAGGCCCTTGACTTCCAATTCAGTTAGGCTCATTTGAAGATTGGAGGGGGAATGCGGGGGACAGAAAATGATTGTCTGAGGATGAGAGCTGTGCAACATAGAATCTAAATCCTACCCCCACCCCAAATCTCCACATTCTATGTGAAGATTAAATCAACTAAAGGGCCATGCAATGGTATGTTCTGTTTGCAAGACTAGAGATATCCTAGGATATATTTTGACAAGAATTGAACTGGCAGAGGGCCGTGAGGGGTCACTGGGGTGGCAGGGAGGGGAGATCTTGCAATAAAGGGCAGAAATCTAGGCTGAATGCATGCCACAGGAAAGATGGCCCAGTATACAGTATATGTGCAAAGAGCTTTAGTATTTACTCTTAGAACTACTACAGCACATTCATTAGCAGAATTAAGCCATGCCCAGGGGAAAAGAATTATTTAGTTAGAATTCTGTCAACATGAAGATCATTTAAGATCATGAACAAGAGGTAGGAGGAATATACACTTCCAAATTGAAGATAACAGCATACCTTCTTCTTGCTACCAAGGGCACTTCAATCTACAGCATTCTAAGTAGAATTCTTAGAATAGTAGAAAGAAGCAATTTACATTCTACGTGAGAAAAACCAATGTTCTCAAGTACATGAGGAGAGGATGCACAATATCTCCAATGTAAAATGCTGCTAATTATCAGTGTCCCTCACCTATGTCTACCTTTTAAAATATGCTTAAAAGAGAATGAAATCTCATTCTTATATCCTCATATCTAACTTATCAACAAGGTGTTATATGGACTGCAGGTCTGTAGTGCTGGACATTCGGTGCCCTGAACTGCACATCTAAAACTGCGCTTCATGTGTACAAGGACATGGCACCACCTCTCCAGGATGTCCTCTAAGTCCGATTTTTTCAGTGGCCACTGCTTTCAGTACACACATTTTCAAACTGTTTTATCTCTGGAACAATCAGGACTAGAAACTTAGTTTTGAATTTGGAGTTGACAAATATGTAGGGACCTATGGATTTCCAAATACTGCTTAGCTGTAACACACATAATATGGCTATGCAAAATGTTTTCAACTCTGCTTATGAGGGTTACATGCTTTAATTAAGCACCAAAGTTAATTAGCTCATTTTAACTTTAGCCCACATTAGACACACAGATATTCCTGCACACCAAACACGGGAAAAATATCATAAGCATGATTTTTGCTGAAAACAATATCCAAAGAAAGTAGACAGTGGTAATAGTAGTACTCTAAAAGGCAAATTATGTTTTTTCCTTTTCACATTAGAATCAGCAAGGAAATGAAGCTACCAATACTCAGTTGAAATCAATATGTATCAATATATATTTCAGACCTAAATTCTCCACTATGCTAATAGACCATGATCTTGTGTTTTGTTAAAGCACTTTAGCTTTGGTATAGTATTGTAATAGGAAATATTTCCATGCCTCCTAATTTCTAAATCTGATGAGAAACAAAATATTAAAGATAACCTTTCCTGCCAACAATGTGAGATATGGGCCAGCCACTGTGTGTATATGTGCATGGGGTGGGGTGGGTATTTTAAAAACCATCTGGCTTCTCAAAAAGGCTGAGGCTGAACAATGTGTACATGAATATATGCCGGAGTGCAGCATATATTAAGTGGTTCACTATCTCTTCCTTGCTAAAGGTAAATGTACTATTCAAAAATTATTTAAGTTCTGTCAACTGACACACTAAACACTAGCTGTGTAAAGGTGAAACATTGAAACCTTGTATGTATTTAGGCAAGATTACATTTGCAAAAAATGCTACACTTTGCATACCTCACAGCTGAAAATGAAATGGCTGCATCTATGTATTTATTTGTTTACTTAGTTGTTACATTTATATTATCCCTACCTTTCCTCCATGGAGCCCAAGGAGGCAAACGTGATTCCCCTTCTCTCCATATATTGTCTGTCTCATGTGCAAAAAATTATGCATTTGCTAATGCAATACATTTAAGAGGGCTGTGATCTCATACTTAAATTCTAGTTGTCAGAATCACAGATTCAGGGGGAAAGGGGTTTAGACCAAAAGTGCAAAGTCTCTTACACTTCATTACTGGCAGCTAGAGCCCTCAGCTAAAATATGCTGGCATTTTGGGACCTGCCCTTGTGCTTTCAATACACCCATTACTGGAATGTGGCTCCCAAACAATTCTTCAAAACTGAATTTGGCCCCTAGACTGGAAGAGACTTTGCATTCTTAGACCAGGATGTTGAGGCAAGGGCTAACCAGTGGTTTTGGGGGAATCCTAATAGAGTCTACCAATTAAGAAAGCCATCCCTACTCCCAAATATACAGCAGGCTCAAACTCTAATTGAGGAAAGACTTAAGTATCATAAGTTTCAGAAAGATAACTTTGATTTGTGTCTGTATATTTGCATATCCTTTTAAGCCAGGAAATGTTTATTTAAAAGCTTCTTTGTTAATCTTTCTAGCTTTGAGGGCAGATAACTGATACAAACTGCCCTACTAGAGTAACTACTTCTCTTAAACTTGTCACACATAAAACTCTCATTTATTTCAATGTTAAGTGTAGAAACTATTGTTTTATCATTAATTCATTTTTTAAATCAGAAAAGGTAGATTTTCTGACTTATCTCAGTAACATGAACATGTGCAAAATCGAGTAGCATTACAGGAGAATACTTACTCAGTGCCACTTTCCACCATCTGTGTTAGAAGGGAAATACCATCTAGATTGATAAATTCTTGGGCAAATGTTACATCACGCGAATAACTAGCTAAGTCTTTCAGTGCTTCCAACTTGGCATCCATACTAGAAGACTGGATCCTTTCATGGAGCTGAAGTGCATTTTGGGTCTCACCAAAGACAGAACATTGAAGAAAAGAAAGAGTGGGGAGAGAGAAAAAGAAACACGGACCTTAATTTCAAGTGAAACTTTCACATGGTTGAAAAACACATTAAATAATGATACAACATTTTATAAAACAAACGCTTATGGGGTGTTACAGTTTTTCAGGGTTCATCTACATAGCATAGGGGCAGAAAACATGCTATCTGTGGGGCACAGGTGGCTGTCCTGGCCTGCCTGCAGGCCTGCCTGCCTAGCCCAATGTGCCACTGAATATCTGCTGAAATTTGATGGAACGGCAGCAAAATAGAGCTGGTTTCTATTTCCAATATTTATTTTTTGATTTGTATCCTGCCTTTTTCCTACAAAGGGCTCAAGGCAGCTTACATCATTCTTCTCTTCCATCTTATCCCCACAACAACCCTGTGAGGTAGGTTGGGCTGAGAGTCTGTGACTGGCCCAAAGTCACCCAGTTGGCTGCATGGCTGAGCGGGGACTAGAACCCAGATCGTCTGAGACCCAGTCCCATGCCCTTAACCACTACACCGCACTGGCTCTCCACAGTACACCACAATGTAACAAGCCTTGCTTTGCTACCACGCTCCAGCAGCACTGCAGCCAAAGATTGCCATTAGTAAATAAAAATCAACAGTAGTGTTATCAACTGTGGGTGGCATATTCAGTCATCTATTTTGGGGTGTGAGCCTAGTGAGTTTACAGGGAAACTGGACCCCAGAACCCTGGAAGATCCTTGGGCCATATAATAACTCTAAAAGACACCTGGTACATGTTCATCCAGTTGACCCATGTGTGCTATGTCAGCTCAGATTATTATCTCACCTGGCATTGGTTGTCCATGCAGCAGCTGGCATGGGCTGAATTCACTGAAATTCAGTTTAGGCACTGAGAAATGTACCTATTCTGTCCAGCTTTACCCTCTGCCCAGTTCAGCTTTGCCATATAGATACTTTCCACACCTTTTGCCCTGCCACCAACTGCTAACCCCTCTCCTTCAGGCCAAACCCAGCTAACAGATGGCCTCTACCTGGTCACCTAAACATTAGGGAGTCTTGTTTCTGCTGTTTGTGCTTCATCAGTTGCAGGAACTCTTCCTGCCTAAATGTATCACATTATTCAAACAGAACTCAAAGTAGCTAACATTTCTTTGGAAAGAAAATATTAAAAATGTATCATACCCCCATCTCTAAAAACTTATAAAATTATTCATTTAAAACATTTGTATCCTGTCTTTATCTAAAATGGATCTCAAGATCACTTACAAACCAAAAGCATAACAGCACAATTAAAATACAAATGCAATATAAAAATATACAGTAAAATAATCCCAATTATCTGACAAAACAATCAACCCTTAAAATACTGGGTGAATAAAACGGTTTTGGCCTGGTGCAAAAAAGAACAAAGTTTTGGCACCAGACACCCCTCCCTGAGCTGCAGGTGTCGAAGCGAACATTGTAAACCAACAACAAAAACAATTTCTGAGAGTAGTTGAGAAAGCTGAGACAGTTTTATCCCAAAATAATGAAGCAAATTCTAAGAGCACTAAGATAAAAGCTGTTATATAGCAATATTTTAACTGCATAAAGCAATAAAGGATTGAATTCTGATGTTACTTGGCAAGGTATTTCATAGGGTTAACTGGAGGAATAAATAACATATGGGAGCTGCCCCAGATGTATAAGGAACCAATTCTGAGCAAGCAGCAGAAGAAAATGAGAACCCTGGTCAGCTCTGTGACAGAGCATGGAGCAGGGGAAAAGGGAGGGCTCTGTCTTACTTTTCCACCCACATAATGGGAAGCTATGTCAGGAGAATTTCATGGAAAGAATGGGGTTGTCTTGCCTTGTGGCTGCTTCTAAGCCATTGGGCTCCTAATAAACATAGGTGTTGACCCAAGACTTAAAGAAAACACAACAAAATCTAATTGGATATTCTCACATACATTACACTAATCTTATAACACAAATGTATAAGTTATCAGATGCAACCAAAACAGCAATAAAGGTAGGTTAAAAATAATAAAACATACAATTTCATAATTGCAGAAATGTTATAGTTTTCAAGATAAAATGTTTGTCCTGTGGTAAAATGCTTCCTGGACAGTTTGATTTCAGGATACAGATGGAGGGCTGTATGATTGAATGGTTCTGGCAAAGAGTGGAGGCATCATTAAAAAAAGGAAACTAGCTAGGTTAGAACCCTTCTTCCTTAGTTCTCTATATGCTCAGAGTTTCTTTTCCTTTTAAAGTAGGAGAAATTTCAATGGCCAGCTTTAGATATAACAGCAATCATCATGGTAAATGACCATGATGGGTTGTGATGAAGTGCCAAGCATACACAATAAGCCCCACAGGTGATTGGATTCATTGTGGTTGCTTTGTTCTGTTCTCCTGCCTCCTTCCCTCTTATTCCTCCTGGTAGCATCTCTGTGCGGAAGAATGAGGCTACTCTCTTTGACATTCACAAGTGCAAGTCGATTTCAACTCATCACAACTGTCAAAGAGTCGCTGCTGTACAATGGTGAGAACAGGGAGGTCAGCAGGCACCCTCACCTCCTGCTGCAGGGGAAATCTCTGGAGGAGGAAGCAAGGGTGCCTAACCTCCTCTGCACTGGTGCCCTGTTCTTGGGGCAGCTTCACCAAGCCCACAGCTGAAGCCAGGAAGGGAGCCATGGGCCTTATGGCATTGCTCCATTCCTCAAGCAGCCCTGCCAAAATCATTTCTGGCTCTCAGATCCTGCCTGGGAGCAAACCACACAGGCAGGAATTAGGAACACGTGATTTTCTCAGCATACTCATTTGTTCTGAGGCCTGTCTCACAAAGTGTTGTGTTGTCTGACTTCAGATGATACGACAAGCAATTCAAGTAGGAGGAAACCTTAGAACAAACTATTGTGTCCTATTGTGGTCACTATGGTTGGTCACAGTTGGGTTTGGATAATATGATAAACAACCATGGTTCTTTACAGTTGTTGTCGTGCTGTGTGTACCCAGTCAAGATGTGATTGTTCCCTTCTGTAGCCTAAAATGGCAGGGCCTAAGAACAAATTTTCTGCATGGCATGTTTTCCTAGGGTACCATTCATTCTATTGTCTGAACTGCTATCATTTTAAAAAACATGTTTAATTCGGCCACAGGCTATATTCCACCACAAACCATGCAAACATTTTATGTATTTATAGATTATCTAATTTTATGATTCAGTTTGCTACACAACAATGTAAAGTTATCACCACATTTGGGGTGCAGTGAAGTCTTGACTGGCTAAAGACACAAAAAATTAGTGAACTCAGCTGCATGATGCAATATTCTCTGTTGGCAGATAAATATACACAGATGGGAACAGGCAGAGGAGTTGGAGAAATATTATTACAAATTGAGAACAGAAGGCTGAGCAATGCAAGAGATAGGTGTGGCCCATCACAGTGCTGAGTCAAAAACAATCAAAGTCCAGTGAAAAGGGCAAAGAATTCAACCAGTGTGGGCATGGTCCTTTCTTAATTGGCAGTGAACTAGCAAAGCAAAATTGTATGTTAGCCTTCCCCAACCTCCAGGTGTCAGACTACAACTCATATCAACTTCAGCAATGGTCAGGCATAATAGAAGCTGTATTCCATCTGGAGGAGCAAATTGACATCTGATGATAGTCAATGAATTTCTGAGTAATAATTTCCAGTCTCTACTGACCCCACACAGTGTCAAATTTGCAAATAATTTCCAGATGTAGCTTCATTCTAGCGTTCCCCTCTAATCATAAATTAGCAAGTTGCCTAAGACCATGCATCTGACTGAAGAATGAGTCAAGGTAATCCTCATGTTCCTAATTCTCCAATAAAGAAAATTCATGATTCAGGCGTTATTCTGCATAGGCACAGAGGCTTTTGTTAACAGCAGTAACCACTTGCATTGGCTATGCTCAAGGAAAATGCCAGTGAATCTTCACACATCATTCATGAGCAAAAGTGCCTGATTGCTTCCTTTTGGCTCCTCCCACCAGCAGTAACTGCATCAGTAACCAGGACCGCATAGTAAGAAAAAGCTCAGGACCATTGTTGTTCTCCAAACAACCACAGTCTGGTTTCAATCTTTCCTCCAAGAAATGCAGGGAGCATATCTGGGTTTCCTTAAAACAGCCCCTTGAACGGGACCATAATAACTGAAGAATCACCTTCCTCTATAATGGAGGTGGGCAATATGGAGAAGTTTCCTGCTACATGGTGTGAAATGATCAAAGGCATCTATGACTTCAACATTTAATGCTTTGATAACTCTGTTCTGTCATGCTGCTCTAGTTATGCACCAGAACTTATCGACAGTGCTTTGAGCATACGAAATAGGATAAAAGGAAGATTGTATGATCTGGGGTAACAAACTTGTGGTCACCAAGGCGTTTTGGGCCTGTAACTTTCATTAGCCCTAGTTAGCATAGTCACTGGTGAGGGCTGATGGGAATTGTATGTTAAAGCATCTGAATGGCCATACATTGCTCTACATCAACAATTCTACATGGAATTGTTATATTCCTAACAATTCCAGTAATTTTTGACATCTCAGCATCAAGTTCTTATATCAGCAGAAATACTGGAGATGGGTACCCAAGAGGACCTTTTCCATCACTGTGGCCAAAACATAGAATAAACTTCTAATGGTGGTCCTGTCTGTCCCCTTCACTGCTTGTTTTTAGATAGGCAGTAAAATCTGTTCACGTTTCAACCAGCCTTAAGGCTGCAAGCCTGTGCTTGTTTAGACAGAAAAACTCCTACAATTCCCAGCATCCCCTGGCCAGCATATAGGGCTTTTTTCTGTCTAAACATGAATAGGAAAATACCTCAAGTCATTTTCTGCAGGTTCTACCTTATTTTGCTCTTGCAAGGGTTTAATATTATTCTTGGTTTTTTTGATACTTTGTTTTTCAATTAGTACATATTCTTTTAGTTTTTTTTTAAATTGCAAGCAATTTTGAATCTTTTATAGAAAGGCCCAGTGC